GAATGTCAATTGCAGGCAACGATTTATTGGTTTTCAATGCTGCATTAAAACAAAAGACTTAAGCAAAAAACTTGTTACTTGTTGCATGCAAAAAGGTGAAAATATTATATGCAATTGTTGTCTGCCTCCGTCCGTACCGCAGCTCAACTTTTCATGCCGCGCCTCACCTTGTGCGCAATAGAATTCAATGAAACAATTTTCTTAATTTTTAATTGCAGCTACGAGTCAATTTGATTTGTTGCTATTACAATTTTTGCATTGTTCTCGGCGCGACATCGACTCAAATCGTTATATATATATATATATATATATGGATATACAGTGAAAGCTCTGCGAACGGACAGCTTAGATGGATTCTGGCTGCTTCTTTGACAAAAAATCAGCATTTCTTTTCGGGCACTAATTATTAATAATAATATTATTAATTTTACTTGTCAGTTTTACTTTTTGCAGTTTTTGTTGGCATCTCTTTCGGGCCAAAGAATATGTAATCCGCGTCCGAGAGCTTTCACTGTAGCTCTTAAGCATTGCTTCAATTGCGGTCTTTATTAATTATGCGCTTATTTATGATAGTTTTAAGCTGCCGATTTATGCTTTTGCCCCTGGGCACACTTCAGTTTTTGCCTCGCAGCAACTTGAAAAACGATTAAAACGCTCAAAATCAACAACTAAAACAATAACAACAAACAAACTGAAGCTGTGCGCACGCTCGCAATAACAACAGCAACAACAACAACAGCAACAACAACAGCAGCAATAATAATAATAGTAAAAATCAACTTTAATGGCAAATAGATCGTGAGATTGGAAGAATTGGATGATGTCTGCCCAGGCGGATGTGCAGTGCGTGTATTTAAAACTTGATTAGCTTTGCGCTTTTGGGCTTTGAATAATATGGATAAAAGCAGAAGAGGCAGCAGCAACAACAACAACAACAACAACAACAAGCGCTATCATCAAGGCCATCGATGATGTAGCTTTGTAAATATTTACATAGATGCCACCAGGGAGATTGGCAGCGCTTAATACCTGCTGCGGCATGGTCAAGGTCGCCATGTGGCAGCTATCAATTGTTATTTATTTTGTTGCGTTTCAGCTGCTTTAGATGAGCCAGAATATGTCTTCAAGTTAATAACAATTGATGAAAATATTTACGATTATTTATTGAATAGGTAATATTTCAGAAAGGTACTAACTAAACTGTTTTTCTCTCCCTCTTCCTTTTTCCTGACTCGCCTTTAACCTCACCGTCTCTCTTACTATTTCGCCTCCTCTCTCTCTCTTTCTCTTTCTCTTTAGCCTCCTCTCTCTCTTCTTTCACCCTCTCGCTCTCTGTTTTACCATCTCTCTTCCTCTCTCTCTCTCTATCTCTTCCTTTCTCTCTTCCTCTCTCTCTATCTTTTCCTCTCTCTCTCTCTCTCTCTCTCTCTCTCTCTCTCTTTATCTCTTCCTCTCTCTCTCTCTCTCTCTATCTCTTTTTCCATTTCTCTTTCTCTCTCAATCAATTTTAATTTTTTCATTATTTCTCTCTCCCCCTCTCTACCTTACTCGCTTGTTTTCCCTCTTCCTTACTTTCTCTCTCTGCCTCTGTCTGGCTCGCTTTCTTTCCTAGATTATACACACACAACCTTTCGTTAAATGTGCCAATGAAAAATGTTCAATTCCTTTTTGAGCCTCTTCCTTAAACGATTGGCTTAAAGCGAGCCTTTGAACCAAAAACTATTCAGTATTTCCAATTTTTATTCTGCTCTTTCTGTAATTCTTTAACGTTTGACTCTATCACTCTTTCTCTATCTTCTTCTGCTTATTTTTGCTGTCTTTCATCGTCGTCCTATTCTGAAGATTTATGCACTCTCTTTCCATTTATGCTTTGTCTATTATTCTTAAAGGTTTAAGCGATTTACAGCATGATTAGAAAAAGGATGTTTAAGATTTGACGCTTTATTTCTCTACTGCAAACGTTTAAATGACTAACTATTAATTTAAAAATATTAATAATATATAAAAAAATAAAGTACACAATTTATTTTATGTGCTTCCACAGACTCTCTGTATAATACCCAACATCGGCAATTCTGAATAGATCAAGTTAAGTTTCCAGAAAAGTAAACACACACTTTCGAGTGCCAAACAAATTTGATTCGTGGTGTTTATTTGTTTGATCATTGTTCAATTGTTTGTTTGTTTGTTTGTTTGCATTTGCTTTTCAATTAAAAGCTGAACATGAACAGCTTCTAACCTTTGGCAGGTTTCAAGTTGAAGTTTAATAACCTTAGGCCAAAGGTGGCAAGCTCCGAGGCCTTCAACTGGCGGCTTTACTACAAAGATCAGCCAGATTTAGTTACAATTGCCAGTTGGTAATTACCGAATTTTTTCTATTTTGTGTGGCTGCTGCAAATGAATTGGCCAAAAGTTCAAATGTTCAACTGGCGATTTGCTTGACCAACTGAATTATTGGTAAGGTCGAGACTCAGTTGAATATCGAATGGCCAAAACGAAATGGCAAAACAAATTCATTTACATGCACAACAATACATCGTATTATTAAAGGTGGGCATATCATAATGGATTACCATAAATATGGTTATGAATGTTCTTTGGCATGCAGAACCTGGCATTAGAGTCGGACTGCCAATTAGCGAATGTGGCCAGCTGGAGGGCATTGGGCATTCGAGCGTATAGTCCGAGTGCCGAAGGCCAAATGGGGCCGGGCAGACCCGATTATACAAAGACCAATTTAATTGGAACATCATTGAGGCAAAAACAAAAACAAAAACAAAAGTTTCAACTGAAACTTTGTATGTGGCATGCCTGAGGTCACTTTCAGCTGTTAGTTATAGAAATCTATGTACGTTTTTTTTTTTTAATATATTTTTAGCAGACGATCTAATCAATGTGCAGCAGCTGCAACAACAACAACAACAGCAACAACAACAACAACAGAGTGAGCATAATTGTTGTTCTAATCAGCGCTGCTGCAGTTGCCAACTGCATGCAAAGTTCAGGGTTAACATGGGCTAAACACCTGCATTTGCCATGCACCCGTATTTGATTATACTAAGCAAACAGCAGCATGCGCCTAATTAAAAAAAAAATAGCTCTCAATTAAAATGTATATAATTGTATGCATAAATAAATAATTATATTAATGCAGTCAGTTCGCCGTTAACAGCGTTCTAGCAGTGGTTGGCAACGCGCAAGCACACAGTCTGGCAACGCCAAATACACGCTGAGCAGCCGCAATATCGATATAATTGTTATCGAAACAGCTGAGCTGGTCAGACTGCAAACGCAAACAATAAATTGCAAATAAAATTAAGCTTATTCAAACATATTGAAAATAATGGAAATTGCGGATACCTATTACAGCAAAGATGAATACGTTGAAACGGTGCGTAGTAATTATGTGCCATAAATATAAACGAAAACCAATCAATTCGTTTCGCTCCGATGACCTCATCAATTATTGCTTACAGGCATCCGGCAACAAGGTGAGCCGCCACACGGTGCTCTGCGGCTCCCAGAATATTGTGCTCAATGGCAAGGTGATTGTACAGAGCGGAGCCATAATACGCGGCGATTTGGCCAATGTGCGTACTGGACGCTATTGTGTTATAAGCAAAAACTCTGTGATACGACCGCCCTATAAACAGTTTAGCAAAGGCATCGCCTTCTTTCCCATGCACATTGGCGATCATGTTTTTATAGGCGAGGGCGCTGTGGTCTCTGCGGCCATAATTGGTTCCTTTGTGTACATTGGCAAGAATGCCATCATCGTAAGTGGGCAGCTTAAAGCTTTAACAAGTCTTATAACACGTAGATTAAATGGGTTCTGATTGATTCCAGGGACGCCGCTGCACGCTCAAGGATTGCTGTGTAATTGAGGATGGTGCCGTGCTGCCGCCGGAAACAACAGTGTCCAGCTATATGCGCTACACGGCCAAGGGCACCATTGAGGGCGGTCAGGGTAATCCGTATTTTGTGCCCGCCGCCATGCACGACGAGATGGTCAACTATACGAAGTCATTCTATGAGCATTTTGTGCGCACACCGGCACCGGCCAGTTAGGCACAATGAAACACATAGTTTTTCACTCATAGAACCCAACTAATATTAAGTATTATATTTAATAAAATAAACGACATTTTAGTCAATCAATCCCGTATCGCAGTCGTAGGCCTCATCGGCTATTTCAAAGATCACATAGCTCATGCCAGTTCGACGTGCAATCACTGCGGCTGTCTCCTCCGAGTTATTCTCCTTGCGTGCCTGCAGATTGCGATCCAGAAGCAGCACAGTGGCCGTATTGCGGCAATTGGAAACGGTTGCCGTAATATGCAAAGGCGTCTGCTGGCCATCCGACTCGGCGTTCACATCGGCGCCAAATTGCAGCAAGAGCAGGGCGCAATCGGCATTGTTCCATTTGCAGGCCGAATGCAATGGTGTCCAGCCGAGTGCAGTGCGTGCGTTTGGATCTGCCTGATGCTGCAGCAACAGCTTGGCCATGTCGACGAAGTTGTTGTAGCAGGCGCGATGCAGAGGCGTGTAGCCATCGTTGTCGCGCGCGTGGACACTGTCCGCGTCCAGTTGTAGGATTTCGCGAACCTCGCTAATGCGATTCTCACCGACGGCCCACAATATCATGCGTTCAATGCTGGCTGCATGTTAAACATTTAGTTTAATTTCTCTTTTGTTTATACTGTTTATTTGTACCTTGTGGATTTTTGTCCTCCTCGATGAGCTCGTCGGTGTCATCGTCCCAGCCGCTAACGAACATGCCGCGCGGCACCTTGGCATAGCGCAGCTTCTCCACTTGCGATTTTTCATCATCTGAATCGTAGTCGCCCATAATACTGAAACTTTTTTTTCTAAAATGCCGATTTGTTACTTTCCAATTGATAAATGTTTGCCTTTGAAACAGATGTTTTGCTATCGATAACACGTTGAAAAAACATCGTACTATCGATATATGCATGTTTCTCTTTGATTTTGCAACACTGCAAATGCTAGCAGCAAGAAGCAGCAGCATCGTTGTTATTTATTTTTCGATCAACGCGTTTTGTTTACATTTGGTTCGTGCGCGCAATGTCCAATCCACAGGAGGAGCTTTTGCCACCCAATGCCGAAGATGATGAGCTAACACTGCCCAGGGCCAGCATAAATAAAATAATTAAAGAGCTGGTGCCCACGGTGCGCGTGGCCAACGAAAGTCGCGAACTGATACTCAATTGCTGTTCCGAATTCATACACCTGATCAGCTCCGAGGCGAACGAGGTGTGCAATCAGCGCAGCAAGAAAACAATCAATGCCGAGCATGTGCTCGAGGCACTCGATCGTCTCGGCTTTCGCGATTACAAACAGGAGGCCGAGGCGGTGCTGCACGATTGCAAGGAGGTGGCCGCCAAACGGCGCAGACAGAGCACACGCCTGGAAAATCTGGGCATACCCGAGGAGGAGCTGCTGCGCCAGCAACAGGAGCTGTTCGCCAAGGCGCGCGAGGAGCAGGCACGCGAAGAGCAACAACAATGGATGAGCATGCAGGCAGCCGCCGTGCAACAAAGCAATGCGCTTATCCAGCGACAGCAGACGGATGTCGCCGGAGTCGGCGGCGGGGGCGGGGGCAGCGGCAGCAGTGCTGGCTTCGTCAGCAAACCCAGTGAGGATGACGACGATGAGGACGACGATGACTACTAAACACAGCATGTGGTTGCAACGAGTTAATTTGCTTTGCTCTTAATGTATTTGTAATAATTTGTTATTAAACTATTGTCATAAGTCGAAACTCAGCTAATTGTGGCCTTCTCCTGCAGCTGAGCTTCAAGCTGTCTGCACAAATGTGACGGCACATGTGTGCCCGGCACATATTTGCCCAGTATTTCGGTGTGCTTTTGCCAGAACGCAGCGCCAATCAGATCCTCATGTATGGGCACTATCGCCTGCCTGCCCTTCTCCTGCTCTCCATCCTGCAACAGCAGCCGCTTGCGCAGCAAGATCGTGCCCTTGCGATACATGGCCGGCAAATTGTTGTAGTTAATGCCAAACTGCTGGAAGAGTAGCTCATTTTTGTCGGCGGAGAGTGTGCCGCGTAGCCGCTCCTCGGCCTGTTGATTGGTCAGACCCGACTCTAGCACTAGTTTCCAAAATGCCGTATTATACAGATTATTCACATGAACATCTGCCTGGCGCCAGCTCAGATAGTCGCGCAGATTCTCATCCGACGGATAGAGCACAATACGGCCATCGAAGCAGGGCGCATAGCTCAGCGGCTGCTGCATCCATTGTGGCCAGCTGAGCACATAGCTGCTGGAGAACATGCTGGTCACGTAGCTGAGCAGCTTGGCGGCGCGTCGCTTAAAGGCTGTCGTGTCCTTGCGAAAGACAAACGAATATTCATCGCTCTGGCCGTAGCCCAGCACAATGTCCCGGAACTCCTGCATGACAGCGATTCCGGCGGCATTCATCACATTCAGCGCTGCACGTGGTTACATTTTTTTTTCCATTATTTATAATTATGATTTTATTGTAATTCAATTCGGGCAGCGTGCTCACCATTCTCATCGTTGGGCTTTTCGAATTTGTGCACATTGGCGAATTTGTGAAATTTCTTGCCATCGACGCGTATCACAATCCACACATTTGGCAATATTCTGTCGTCCTGTTCGTAGGACTTAACGTATTCATATCTGCTGCAGGCCATGCTGCGTCTGTCGAGCGCTATTCCGTTTTTATTCGTAGCCAAGAGTTTGAGCACAGCGCGATTAAATGCACGGAAATGCATTTAAATTATTTACTTTTGCCGCATGTGAAACAGGTGCTGGCAATGTACAAGGTGACGCATAGACAGATCTACATGTTAGCTGAACTGTTGTGACGTCACGACCACGACCACAAATATGTTAAGTACAAGTGCTCATAAACAACATAGAATTCATTGAATGAAATAACGAACGGAAAAAATGAGTGTGCTGATCATAGTTTGCTCAAAGCCGAGCCTCTCGTATAATCGAGATGTAAATGTTGTACATTTTTCATCTCTTCAAATATCTTGTATGTTTTCTCTACTACCTTTACTATTTTAGGCTACTGAAGCATTCTAGACCGTTGTGCAACACTAGCAGAGGCGATAATAATCGATAGGCAGCCTCAATATTTGAACAGCTGTTGCAGAGTATCGCGGCCAGATATTCCACTATTCAGCGGCGGCCGCACAAAATTCCATTGTGTTATAATAAAATGAGTGTTAATTATGAAAAAAATGTGATGGACGAAGAATTTGCGCCAGTCAAATTATCAGACGATGAGGAAAGCGAAGGTAATGCCAACACAGAACCAAACGTGACGACGGCAGCAACAAAACCGCCAGCTGCTACACAAAACAGCTCGGACAACTATGATGCAGAGGCAACAGCTGCCGATGATGGTGATGGAGGGAGCCATTCAAGCGGCGGCGCGGCCAACACACATGTGGTTGCCCATCACTACAACGAGCTGAAGGAGGCCGGACGCAAGGAGCGCCACAAGTCGAAAATCTATTTTATGCGCAACTTTAACAACTGGATCAAGAGCCAGTTGATCAACGAGTTTATGGCCTTTATAAAGCAACAGCAGCGCGTTGGCGATGCACTGCGCGTACTGGACATGTGCTGCGGCAAGGGCGGGGATCTGCTCAAATGGGATAAAGCCCAAATATCGCATTTAATATGCACAGACATCGCCGAGGTGTCGGTCGAGCAATGCCAGCGTCGCTATCAGGACATATTGCAGCGTGCGGAGAGATCAAAGTATGCGCACAAGTTCACAGCCGAATTTTTTGCCTGCGACTCGACAATGGTTCGTCTGCGTGAACGCTATAAGGATGCGTCATTGCAATTGAATCTGGTCTCCTGCCAGTTTGCCTTTCACTATTGCTTCGAGTCGCTCATGCAGGCGGACTGCATGATGCGCAACGCAGCCGAGTGCCTGCAGCCGGGTGGCTATTTTATAGCGACCATACCGGATGCTTATGAAATTATTAGGAGATTGAAAGCGGCCGGACCGAATGCACGCCGATTTGGCAACGATGTCTATAGCATTGAATTTGAATGCGATACGGAGTCGTTGCCGCTTTTCGGCGCCAAATATCAGTTCCATATGGAGGGCGTTGTCGATTGTCCCGAGTTCTTGGTGCATTTTCCAACTCTGGTCAAACTGGGTCGCCGGCATGGTCTGCAGCTGGTCAGGCGCAGCACATTTGCCGAATATTTCAGGGAGACGATGTCCCAGGGCCGCCAGCTGCTGCAGCGCATGTCTGGCCTGGAATCGGTCCAGCCCCATCGCTGTGGCAGCGATGATCAATTCGAGCATGTGCGCCGAGTCCTTGGCACACAGCGCTCTCGGCCCGTGGGCACGCTCTCCAAATCCGAATGGGAAGCAACAAGTGAGTACTTAACAAATATCGCAGCGATCCAGCTGACTTAACTGCTCATATTTATATTTGCAGCACTTTATCTGGTTTGTGCCTTCAAGAAATGCAAAAACAGCTGGGATGCCAAAGGCAAGCCTCTGTTCGAGTTTGACGACTGATGATTCCCAAAAGACGCGCATATATCTATATTTATATATATATATATACTAAGCGCATCGAAAGTTTTGTTCAGATACCGGGGTTTTTTTTTTAATGGTTTGAATTTACAACATACTCAGCATAATCAGAGCATATATTTTAAGTTGGAAAGTGTATTTGAAAGCTTTTAACGTTAATATAAAAAAAGTTGCAGTTAAACAACGAAAATATTACAAAAGTATTAAAATGATTATCAAAAGTTCGAATGTACAAGAGAAAACTTAATATCCATGCAATTTTCGAGACTTCACGTTAAAAATATTAAATACCATTTACGATTCATTATAATAATATCGGAATTGCTGAGTTTAATTAAAATATTTGGAAAATTTAAATAGTTGTTTACACAAGAATTGTTTTTTCGACTATAGATTATATGTTACACATGGGTGTCAATCGCAACTTTAAAATAAAAACTAGTTGACAAAGACACAGATTGATAAATATATAGAATTTATATATCTCCATTCATATCTAGTGAAATCGTTATATAGTAGGGTTTATAAATAAAATGTTGACTTGTTAAGCAGCAGATCCTGCTCTTTCCCATAATTCCCTCAACATTGGCCTGATTTTCGTGCGGAATAGCAGTTTTGAAAGAGACTTTATACCAATTCCTCAGTTGGGGACAATAAAATAATATTTGAAATCGTATATAACTATTTTTTTTTTTTAGATATCTCTATAAGGTTTTTTATTCTTAGAACGTTTAAGACATTAAATAAAATTTCAACTATGAACTAGCGAAAATCCATTGTTCAACCCTCGTCACATAGACAATACCTGCGCCATGCTCTCTACATTTGAGCAGCTTTGATAACGAAGCTTTCGGCCAACGAATGGCGAAACTGGAAGTCTTTTGGGCCATTACCGAAAGCTTAATGGAAGCGCGGAGGGGTCTATGGACACGTACCGTCCGAGAGTGGTAGAGAGCGCGAGAGTAAAGAGAAAGAGAGCGCACAGCTGTTGCTTTCACAGCGACGGCGCCATTGAAGGACAACGGGCAAAGGTTAGTCCTGACGTTTACGTCGCCGGGTCGTGCCCGAGACCGATTACCAAATGTGCGAGCCCGTGCCTGGCATTCAATGCATCAATGAATTATTATAGCTCAAGTGTAAATAAATATTTGATAACAAAAACGAGTAGGTACAAATGAGTATGAGTCAAATAAAGGCATAAATTACGCCCATTGATTGGTTGCTGAAGGCAGCAAAACGGATAAATGTTTGCGTGCATGTGTGTGTGAGAGAGACAAGGATCTCGGAAACACACACACACGCACAGCTTACGCTCTTGGTTATTTTTCTCTCTCTCTCTCTCACTCCGTCTCTCTCTCTCTCTCTCTCTCTCTCTCTCTCTCTCTCTTTGTCCGTTTACTTCTCTTTGTGTAGTGCTTTGCCCATCTTCAAGTTCTTGTCAGATAATTTCATTATTTAAAGTTTTGCTCATAAAAATAAACTTTGGGCGTAAAGTTTAAATTTGTTTTGCACACATATGCAAGCGCACACTCACACCCACACATACCTGCATGTTGTTTACAACAGAGCAGCACTTGTGTGTGTGTGTGTGTGTGTGTGTGTGTGTGTGTGTGTGTGTGTCCGCTACGCTTTGTTTAAAGTAGAACGTGCGTATTTAGAAGGCAAACAACAAAACTGTTTACACACACACACACACACTCACACAGAGGCACACAGCTCGGCTCGTGGCGCAGCATTGGCACCCCCTTGCCTCTTGGCACCTGCTACCCCTCGCCCCCGACGCGCTTTGCACTGATTGGCCCTAATGAATCTTTTTGTTACCTCCTCGTGCAGCCGCCTGCGCATTGTTCCATGCGGTCTATGCAAATTAGTTCACTTTTAACCCAAATGCTCGCCACCAGGTTGCACAAAACATTTGCACCTGATGAAATGTACCAAAATGAATAAAAAGACCCAAAATGGTTGAGAATAAATAAATTTCAAAAGCGAAATATCTTAAGCACTTGATTTATGGTCAAAACTAGCAAATATTAAAAAAAAGTTAATAGAAAAATTAAGAAAAACTAAAAATTCAAATATTTGCTCGACAAATTTGAATTCTTTTGATTTTCAAAGCGTATTTTAATGAACAAGAGATCTATTTTGTAAAATATATGCTACATTTTATATATATAAAATTATGTATGAATTTTAATTATAATAAATT